ATATCACGTGACCGCCGGGTTCTGTGGTTGTGATCTGGGTTCCATTCAACCCTCCAGGTTCAGAGTCAGACCTGGCATGGTACATGGTCAGACAGAAGGCGAGCTGTGGGACCAGCAGTCCAGCTCCCGTCACCCTCTGCCTTGGTGCCTGAGCCCCTCTGGGTAGCACCTATAGTCCTGTGCACGTGCATGTGTGTGTGTGTGTGTGTGTGTGTGTATGTGTGTGTGTAGGGTGTGCTTGTGGGCAGCATCTGAAAAAGGAGGAAAGATCCTTTCCTTCTGCTTGAAGATTTTTACATGAAATGTTAACCCCACAAGAAAAAGTCTACCATGGAAGAGGAACTGAACACCCAAGTGGATAAAATACGTGGCCAGTCAGCATTAACTATACTTAGAACCAGCACGGCAAGCCCATTAGTGGAGTGGCCATGGTGGTAGGGACCAGGGCCGGACAACAGCGTGGACACTTACTCACCAAGGCGCGTTGAGACCAGTGCAACCCCTGACCCAGCCCCCTTTCCCTGGAGAAGCACAACAGGCCACCTGGCAGTGAGTTGATGGCTTCAGGTCCCGCTCAGCCTGGAAGGTTGGTGGTTCACCCCCACAGGGAAGAGGGTTTCTCCTGGAGTGGGTTTGCCTTTCCTTGCTGAAGAATGCCGACCAGCAGCACCACCTGGAGCTGCACAGCATCCGATTCACATGCATGGATTCCCAACCAGCATGCACATGACCAGGGGAAGCCTGACATCAGGGAGGAGCTGTAGGAGTAGCCCATGGGTCCCCTGCATTCCAGTACAATCGGAGGACATCAGTTTGTGGGATGCTGGAGTGGCCTCCTGAAGTGCAAAGGAAGCAGCAGCTTGGAGAGATACTCTAAATTCCTCAGGGTTCTCTACAGGAACCCAGTCAATATAAAATATATGCATAGGGCTGGGGATTCAGCTCAGTGGCACCGCACCTGCCTTGCAAGCGCAAGGTCCTGAGTTCAATCCCCCGTACCAAATAAATAAATAAAACATATGTGTCACTGTACCAAAGGGATCTATTAGGTGGCTTCACATGATCAGAGGCAAAGGAGTCACAGTGGCCATCTGTGGGATCAGAGGCAGAAGAATCCATCCGGTCTGCATGCTGGAGAGCTGGAGGATCCAGCAACAAAGGCAAAAGACTTGGAAGCCTCTGCAGAGTCACCTGTATGAGCCTGCACCGGAAGGCTGAAGAAACTGAAGACCAGTGTCCAAGACAATGGTGAAGACTGGAGCTCTTCTAAGAAAAGAAATGGAAACACCTCCTCCTTCTTTCTCTTTTTATTCTGTCCAGGATATAAGCCTACTGGTTAGTTCCACTCACGTCTGGGGTGGGTCTCCCCCCTCAGTTTGCTGGTCTACATGTCAATAATCTACAGGCATGCTCAGATCTTACTGATCTGTTAGATGGTTCTTATGCAAGTCAAGTTGACAAAACAATGAATGATCAGCGGACGACCATCCTTCAGGAACTCACACATTTGTCAAGGACATCCGCAGGTCCCTGTGCCTGGCACTAGAGGGAGCACAGAAATGTCTAGATCACTGTCCCCCATCCCCACCCACTTCAGGATCAACCTGGGCTGTGATGCCCTCCCTGTTGTCCACCTGGGAAGCTCAGCACCTGACCCAGATCCGGCGTCCCCACCCCGTGATCATTCCTGTCCTCTGTTGTCATTGCAAGGATAGAATTCTGTACACTCGTGTCACACAGCACCCGAGCATTTGCCCACCTCCCCTCGCTGAAGGAGGACACCTTGAGGGCACATTGTGTTCCAGCGTCTGTGTCCCAGCAACAAACTCAGAACCTGGCAGCAATGAAGTACCATGTACCTGTCTGCTCAAAGGACGAGTGCACAGAGAGATGATGACTACTGCCTGACACACCGCACGGTCACCTCTTGTCTCTGTCCCTCCTTCTGTAACCTTCTGAGAAAGGTATCATCAGTATCTTCCCTTTACAAATGGGGAAACTGAGTCACGGGGTGACTCACGGCCACTGGTCCTGAAGCGGGCTGCCAACACCTTTGCTCTTAACCATTACATGACATGGTTGTCTGGCTACAGAGGTTGGGGAAGGAGGAATTGGGGTGGGCTGGTGTGGTCACCAAGGTGGGGCCCGAGATGCCTTTTAGGCAGTCAGAGAAAGAGTGTATTCTCCCTCCTTGTTACCAGAAGAGCATGTTTCTGGCCTAGCAGACTGCGTGGTCTGAGTAGAAAGCCTAGGAGAGGCTACAATTGTCATGCATAGCTGCTTGTAGGGTGGAAGGAGAGCCTGGGACAAGAAGGAGATGCCTGCAAGCAGTCTGGAGGGAGGAGTGAGCTCCCAGGCAGGCTCAGTGGCAGGAAAGAGGAGATTAATTCAAGAGCCATTATAAGAGAAGGCCCCTTGGAGGCAAGTAGGAAGGCCTCCCTGGGAATCCTGGATCTGGCCCTGGGAACTTGGCCTCACTGGCTTTAAAGCCACATTTTTAGCCATTTTCACAAGTGCCTGGGGTGATGGGAAGGATAAGAAAGGATGGAAAGTTGGGGTGGGGGATGCACCAGCCCCTCGTATTCTTGGTCTTTCTCCATAATGTCAGGAACGGGCTCAGACACCAAGATAAACAACTGGTTGACCTGGCCTGGCTAAGAATGGTGCAGATAGTGACTGTGAATCAGCCTCAGGCTCTGGTCCAGGAGAGAGCATTTCCCAGCCAGGGGGAAGAGAACAAGCCAACTGCTGCTCTGGAAAATTCCACTCACATTCTCCATCCTTTAAAGGGACAAAGTTAAGGGCCATAGGGGAGACAGGACTTGTTCAAGTGCTTGGGGTATGCACAGCCTGACAGAAGTCAGGGGCACTGTCTCTTGGCTGCACAGCGGCTCCTCCTGCTGGACACTTTCCTGAGCGCTCTCTCTCTCTCTCTCTCTCTCTCTCTCTCTCTCTCTCACACACACACACACACACACACATGGCCAACCTGAACTTTTTGTAATCATGTACACTACTTTGGCAGCTCAAGGTTTCCTTTGTCCTACAATAAGCTCTGACACTTTAGGAGGAGTCTGAAACAAGACTTTTCTTGTTAAACATGTCTGGGTAGCTGAACATTACTCAACAAGTCACATATTGATTGAGGTTATCACAAGGGACCAGAGCTAACAAGGAGGCAGAATACGTAACATTTGGGTAGCATTAGAGCTGCTCAGAAATGTTCCTATTTCCCTCCTGCTTGGCACATGGGAGCCCTGCACATTCTGCAGTGCTTTAGAAGTTGAGTGAAGACCTATGACCTGCCCTGACTTATGCAATGTGATCAGAGGTGACAGATGACCCTCGGGGGCAAGATTAGAGCCAGTGCGTAATGACTGTATCCCATCCTGCTTGCCACAGTGACAGCGGCTGTTGAGACGTGAGGGGTCTGGGTGCAAGTGAGCCCCTTCTTGTGGGTCCACAGACAGGTGGGGTGGGCCAGAAAGAAATGCTTGTTGGTTTGGGGCCTGGTGTTAACAGAGCTCAGTGTAGTTTAGACTGAGTCACCAAAATTGGTACTCAGAAGTGAGGTCCCATTGGAACAAAGAGCTAAACAACGTAGCATCCATGGCGGCAGTGAGGAAGCTCATGTGGGAGTTGGGAAGATGGTCATGAGTGAAGTGGAGAAACATTTGGGAAAGCAGTCACCTGTGATACCCTGGAAGGGAAGAGGAGTTTGAAAGTGAACGCTTTGCTGTTGGCCGTGCTTGGCCAGGTGCTGCAGAACAGAGACAAGATTTTAAATCAAGTGGTGAATGGGGCTGAGGATTTAGCTCAGTGTACTGTGCCTGCCTCGCAAGTGCAAGGTCCTGAGTTCAATCCCTGGTATGGGAGAAAAAAATCAAGTGCTGAAGGATCACTCCAACTAATAGGCAATGTGACCAAAAAATACAGTGAATGTTTACATTTTTAAAAAATGTATTACAGTAAAAGACACACTGCCATGAATCCCCTTGAAAACACTCCTCTTTGTTTGGAACACTCTTGTCCAATCAATCTTACCACTTTCTGAAACAGTTCTGGAAATCCTCTTTCTTTAGTGTCTTTAGTTGTGCTGTCATGGCTACTACCATGTCTTGAATCAATTTAAGACGGTGACCTTTCTTGGTCCTTTAGACTTTGGGGAAGACCCAGAAGCATGGTGCCAGATCTGATGAATAAGGTGAATGAGGATTCACAGTGATGGTTTTACGAGCCTGCCTTTCTATTGACTGGCATTCCGTAGCAGTATTCATCATATTTTCTTTATCGAATCTCCTAAAGACACTCATGAAAGAGGACTTCCAGAACTGCCACAGAAAGTGGCAAAAACAATAGGATATGTGTGTTCAAAGTAAGGCAGAGTATTTTGAGGGGCATTTTAAAGATATCAGACATTAGGCTGAAAATGATAGTGATCTAAGACACAATAAACAAATGAGCTGAGTCCAGTGCCTGCCCAGCCTATTACCTTGAGAAGATTCTAAGCCACTGTGGGAAAAGGAATCCAGGTAAATCCCAGCAGATTCCCTGAGTTGAGAAGATAGAACTGCATCAAGAGAGATCCAGGCAAATAGAGTTCATAGGACAGAATCCTTGAGAACAGAAAGAACTCCAAAGATCCACAGATGGCCTCCTTCAGTATTGAGGAGAGTCTTGGTCTAGATAGTCATGAAAAGAAGGCATGAAAGCCAGGGAAAGAACCATCTAAAAGGATTAGTGGGAGCAGTACCAGAAGGTCATGTAAAGCCGGAAGGTCATGCAGCCAGGGAAAAAGCTTCTTTTCCAGCTAGACTGAAAAATCTAATCCAGAAGTAGCCTGCCCACCAGGGAGGCGCATGACGCACTTCCGTCAGCGCCAGCTCCAGCCGCCAGCATCCCCTGGATTGGGGCGCGGTTCCCGGAAGTTCTCGGCACTGAGCTTTCCGCTTCCGAGGTGGTTGCTGGGCCGATTTAGAGAGCTCCTCCTCTTTTCTCCATTTTCCCCCTTGTGTTTTCTTGACCCGGAGGAGACGCAATCAAGGATCCGAGGAAAATTCGTACAACTGGAGTCCTCAAATGGCTAACCAGACAGTGAAGGATGCGCACAACATCCAGGGCACCAACCCCCAATATCTGGTAGAGAAGCTCATTTGGGGGTGAATCTAGGAATCCGAGTACTGGAAAGAAGAGTGCTTTGGACTTACGGCCTAACTTGTAGTTGATAAAGCTGTGGGGTTAAGGTCTGTGGGCGGTGTCTATGGTGGAAACATAAAACCAACTTCCTTTCTCTGTTTGACCTTGAAAATGCTTCACATTCAACCTGAGGAGGATGTGATCGTAGAGTTTATAGAAAATGAAGATTGCAAGTATGTCCGCGTGTTGGGCGCACTTTACACGAGGCTGACCGGCACTGCAATCGATTGCTACAAGTACTTGGAACCTTTGTAACAAGGACTATCGAGAAATCGAGAGCCAGAACCGAAATGGAGAGTTGGAACTGATGCGTGTCGATGAATTCATTGATGAACGGCTGCACAGTGAGAGTCTGTGATATCGTTCTGCTCCGGCTACAGAAACGCTATGTCCTAGAAGAAGCTGAGCGACTGGAGCCTCGAGTTAGTGCTCTGGAAGAAGATGCGGGCGATGTGGAGTCTGGTGAAGAGGAAGAGGAAGAAGAGGAGAAGCTGGAAAGAGTCCCGTCACCCTGTCATTGCAGGAGAAGCTCCCGGGACTTGGAAGGTCGCATCGCTCTCCCACACCGCCCTACAGGAGGAGTAGGATCCGGCCTCCCAGAAGGCGGAGTGGGTCTCCCCAAAGAAGTAGTCCTTCACCCCGCAGAGAAAGTCATCGGAATAAGAGCCCAAGACGCCGCAGAAGCAGGACCCCGGATCCACCGTAATCACAGACACAGGAGCCACTCAGTCTCCTGAAAGGTCAAAGAACAGCCGTAAGAAGAGCCCGAGAGGGAAGGAGTCATGAATTCAGTTTGGTTTTTGTCCAAATGGCCTCCTGCGGATATAAGGGTATCTATGGAGAAGGATTCAGAGCTGCTCTCCTGGCAGCTGTAATATTTCAGTTTTTTCTCACCGTTTTTTTTTCTTTTAACGGAAGAGGTGCTGAGTCTTGTATCTCTTTTCAACTGTAAACACCTTTGAAGAATGACGTTTCCTAAGCTCAGGGCTTTTTGTTTGTTTGTTTGCTTTGTTTTGTTTTGTACCGGGGATCAAACTCGTGTCCTTGCACTTGAAAGGCAGGCAGCAGAACCACTGAGCTAAATCCCCAGCCCTAAGCTCAATTTTTGACCCAGTCAACTATGATTATGACTATATTCAAAATTGTGAGGATAGAAAGGATCTGAGAATTGGGGATGTGAGTGAGGAAAGATTTGGCCATGCTGGAGACTCTTCACCTTCTTGTTATTAAAGCTGAGACACCCCCAAATAAATGAATAAATAAATAATTTTTAAAAAAGGAAAAATCGCTGGTGGCGTTATGGAGCAGCAGCTGCAGCCATTGAGAAACTTGCGAGACTTCCTGTTGGTGAACAATCGGATGACAGAACCCTCAGCGCTGTGCGCCCAGCCTGCACCACCGAGCTCTGAACGCTGAGGAGGAGGCCTGCCTGCATAGCTGTGCTGGGAAGCCGATCCATTCCAACCCCCGCCTCATGGCCACTTACGTGCGGCTCATGCCTGCCCTGGTACAGCGCCACATCACAGACTATGAGGCCGCCTCAGCTGTGCCAGGTGTTACTGCAGAACAGCCCACAGTCTGGCCACCAGGCAGCTGGCCAACCCTAACCCCAAGAGGGAAGGTACTGGAAGGACCCAGTGGATCTTGGGCTTGGTGAAGCCTGGACAGAGAGACTGAGGGATTGCCAGAAAGCTGGGTACTATTGCTCTTTTTCTGGAGCCAATAAACCCAGTTTGTGCTGTTTGGTTTATATTATGAGTAGGGAACCTTTGTCCACTTTATTAGCACCATCCTTTGTTATTTAGTTAGTATTTGCTGGCTTCACTCCAGCAACTGAGAAATTGCCTTCTGTATCTAGAAGGACAGCCTCAGTATTCCAGGCATGTGATTAGAGCAGGATCTGTGGGTACAATTTATAGGTGGGTTGTACAAACAAGAAGTTAGTTCCTGTTCAGATGACAGATAAAATAATGAGAGATCTCTCTGGCTTTCTTGGAGTCTTTCTATCTTAAATAGGTGATTAATCATTGGCATATAACTAATTTTTCCTGGACTGTGCCTTAGAAAAGAGTTCTGTTGGATCTAGGGCAAGAAGGTGATGTCAACAACAGAAGTGGTGGGGGAACCAAACTGCAAAAAAAACTTTGGTCTTTTAGGCTTTGCTTCTTAGGAAATCAATGGTCACAGAACACAGATAAAACCTCTAAGAATTGGAGGTGTTCTATAGTTGCAACCATTTCCCCAAGTTAGTTTCTCAGTATTTACTGACTTCCTGGGATCAACATTAAAATGTTTATTTAAATAAAGAAGGAGGTGTTCTTCGGGGGCAATCAAGAATGCAGAAACTACAGTACCATCAAATCTGGGCATGATAAATCTAAGGAAAAAGTAGGTAGTGGTGTTTATTAAAAAAATAAAATTTAAAAAAATTTATAAAGAAAAAAATCTAATTCACAGGGCGTAAGGCAAAGTACTCAGAAAGATCTTGCTTAGTAGTAGGAGCTAATTAGTTCTAGATGATGTTGTTTTGCTTAAACTAAGTTACCATTGGCACTATGATTATGGTAGTGACTGCAATGACAGATTCCTTTGGGTTCAGCATATTATTATCTTGTGTTATATGATAGACTAATGCTATTACTTTTCATTTGTTCAAATTGCTATAAACTTTTTGTTCATATAACAAACTTTGATGTCGATTGGTATGAACTCATCATTTCTGTACAGTGTCATCTTCTACATTGCCTCGGTAGCCCCTTAAAATAAAATAGTGTGCGTGGTGATACAGGACTCCTTATTCAAATGAAAATGAAGCTCCTAAAGTCACGTGATGGTACTTCGTTACAAAATGTTTAAATAGAGCGATGATTTTCAAATTGTGGTCCACAAAATGATGGAGGTTCCTGAGACCTTTCGGGGGATCTTAAAAGTCACAGTTACTTTCACAATAATCCTAAGACATTATTTTCTCTTTCACTATGTTGAGATTTTCACTGATACTGCAGAAGGAAAGGTGGGGGAAACTACAGATATTTTAGCATGGGGTTGGGGTAGTGGTACCAGATGTACTCCTAGTCATTAGCTGTTTTCTGTTACCATGTCCTTGCAGTTAGCTATTTTTACTCCAGAATGTCCTAGGTGAAACAGTAAAGCAAAGTATTCATTAATAAAATACCCTTGAATAAACTTGTTTCTATTATTCTTATCCATTATGACAAAATGGGAGAAATGCAAGTAGCAGTCCAACTGCATACAAGGGTGTATGAGGTTGTCTCAAGAAAAGGACAATTTCATCCTCATTGTTTGAGGTTTGAGCTAAATTGAGCGCTTTTTCCATGGAAAACCATTTTTACTTGAAAGACAAAGTTGAGTTATTCAGAGTTGGGTATTTGGCAGACATTACCTTGAAAATAAACAAAGTGAACTTACCACTTCAAGGAAAATAAATAATTGTTGCCAAATATAAAATTCAAGACTTCAAGTGAAAATTAGAAATTGGAAAAACTTGTGTTTGCCACTGTGAGACTGACAGCTTCCCAATATCTTGTGATGAGTTGTGATGTTAAAGAATGTTATTTTTTAAATATCATGTAATGAAACACATCAACATTTGGAAGGTCTACATAGCTCAGTGAACCAATATTTTCCAGATGATTAATGCTTGTTTCAAAATCATGAACAGGCAAGGATCCATTTAAAGTGTGAGGTTGACAAATAGATTCTAATGTAATAAGGTTTGCAAAGTTCACAGATACAGTTTCAGAGTCCATGTTGCAACTAACCTTACTTGTTGAACTTTGGTATAAAGTCACAGAATATCCACACTCATCTTTAAAGGCTACTAAAGCACTCTATCCAGGGCTGGTAGTGTAGCTCAGTGGTAGAGTATGTGCTTAGCAAGTACAAGGCCCTAGGTTCAATCCCCAGCATAAACAAAACCAAAACCAAATCCTAAACCACAACTCCTTCCTTAATCTGATTACTTGTCTGAGTGAAGCCAGGTTATTCTTAATACATTTCAACCAAAACAACCCACCACACTAGACTGATTTCAAAAGCAGATAGGAGGATCTATCCAGCCATCTTTTACTAAGTTAAACATTACAGAGATTTCAAAAAGTGTGAAGTAATGTTATCCTTTTCATTAATTTTGTTTTGGAAACAGCTAACTTTATAAAAATCTATAGCTCCCAACTTATGATAGTTTGACTGACAGTTTTTTTTTTATTTGACAGTGGTGCAAAAACAATACACATGTGGTAGAAACTTTACTTTGAATTTTGAACTGTGAACTTTTCTCAGGCTTGGGACATGCAGCAAAATACGTTCTCGCCATGCCCCACAGTAGCAGTGAGGTCCAGCTCCCTGTCACCTGTGGGACAACTGATGGTTTATAGTGCACTATGTGGTCAGCATCGCAAAATACTCAACACTTTATTATAAAATGGCCTTTGTGGTAAATGATTTTGCCCAACTGTAGGCTGATATGTGTTCTGAGCCAATTTAAGGTAGGCCAGGCTAAACGCTGATGTTTGGTAGGTTAAATATATCAAATGCATTTTCAACCTATGATATTTTCAATTCACAATGGGCTTATTGGGACATAACCCCATTGTAAGTTGAGTAGCACCTATGTGTTAATGGACAATGGATAATTGTTACTATTTCCAAATGAATTAATAACTATTTCAAAGTTTTCTCAGTATTTATACTATGGGTATTATGGATAGATATATTTCAAGTGTTCCATTTACCAACTTAGGGGCTTGCCCTCCTAGATTTATCCTTCATTGCCAGTTTTGGAAAATAGAGCTGGGCCCTGGAAAGGTATTTCCTCTGCCACTTGGCACAACATCCAACTGTCAGTAGAAGGGGCTGGGAAACACTGCAGGAAGAAAGGGCTTTCCTTCTGGTTCCCCTATGTGCTCCTGGCAGGCTCCTGCAGTCTGTGACTTCTCTCGCACCCAGCTCTGTTATGCTGTGGCTAGACTTCAGCTGTGGTCCCCAGGCTGTCTCCTGTGTTTGCACATCCCTCTGTTAATCATACGACTATCATGCAAATATTGGAAATTCGGAACAAAAACAGAAACAGAAGAGTTGGATGACAATTCTGTGATATATTAATCATAAATAACTGATGGTTTGGAAAACATCCATTCTTTAGGACTTTGGCTAGCTGACCCCATAGAAACTAGAATTCCCCTGGCCATCTGTGCTTCCTTGATCAGACCAAGTAAGACCCAGATCCATGAGAAACTGCAGCTTGTTGGAATCATAGTTGGTCCCCTCCATGTAGGACTCAGCACCCTGCCTCTAGTGTGAGAAATCACTCAGCCCAAAGGCCCTTGTCTTCTCTCCCACTGGCTCTAAGGGGTCAGGAGATGACAAGAAAGCTGACTGTCTTGCTAAATTCATTAACTTATGTGTTTGTACTCTCCAGGTAAAAGCTATGCATTTAGATTGAACTTGAAGGATACACTTTAGTCAAAATAACTGAGACAACCAAAGTGGGACCAAATCAACTGGGATAATGTGGGTTCCAACCTTATAAAGCAAAATGGAGGGCAACTCATGAGTTATAGCCAGCAGACTCCAACAAGGGACGCTGGGGCAGCAGCCAGGACCTCCTTATGGTCACAGCCCAGGGAGCACCCAGCACAGCCCTCTGTGCGAAGGCCACCAATCCCGTAGGACACCACTTCAAGCTGGGCAAATCCCTATACTACTACATCTTGTATTATTTTTACCT